CTCGAGTGCGATCAGGAATCTTGATACCAAAATATAGGCATTAAATCATAGACACAAAAAATAGGCATTAAGTCAGACAAAAAATATAGGCATTAAATCATAGACACAAAATATAGGCATTAAAACAAAGACACCAAAATATAGGCATTAAATTATAGACACAAAATATAGGCATTAAATCATAGACACAAAATATAGACATTGAGTCATAGACACAAAATATAGGCATTAAAATAAAGACACCAAAATATAGGCATTAAATCAAAGACTTGCATGTATATACAACATAATTATATAATTTATTTTTTCTTCAAAATGTACCTTTGCTTTACATATGTATTTTAAAATTGTATTTCATAAATTTGTTACAGAAAACATATTTTAATTGGAAAATATTTTAAAAAACCTGATATGTACAGGGTGAATACTAATTTGACGTTGGCATTCAACAGAAGAACGAGATTGAGTAAACCTTTGGTGATTTTTTATTTTGAACATATCATAAGGCAGTTTTCCTCCAAGTTAATGAACACTGGTTGGTTTCATTATCTAATGATTAGATATCATATATTTAACTATATAAAACACTTTATATATATCTATATATTTTTATATATTTTATTTCATTTTTACAAATTGCTTTTACTGACTGACAGAGTTTCCTAATCACGATTTATGAAGCAATAAGGAAAATATATGACAACATATTAATTTTGTTGTTTACTAATTGAGAAAAAAAAGGCAAAGTGTTTGTTGGTGTTGCTTTGTCTTTTGTTTTTTCTATCCTTTCAACTACATGGACATGGATTTATGGGGCGCCAAACTAACATGAACTTGAATAATTAAAGATATATCTTTAATTATTTGAAGATCTCTTCGGTTAACTTGATACACATACTAAAATTCAATGGAAGAGCTCTTCAAATAATAACATCTTCAATTCTGTAAGATTACACCATTAATTCAAATGTTGATTAATTTCATTGTAATTTGTTAAAGTGGTTGTGCACGATAATTGAATTTTTGCTCTCTTCAAACGAATTGATGATAATTATCATGATCAACAATTGAAATCAATTTGATGCAATTGGTTCAATTGAAGAGATCAATAATTTAATCAAAGCGCACAATAATCAAATACATAATGCTTTATAGCATGCATCAATTCAATTAATGCACACATAATTGTTGCTTTCTTTCATTGAATTAGGTTATCATTAAATCAATTAATGCATGCAATAATTGAATTATTGCTCTCTTTTAACTGATCATGAATCCATGCTCACACCTTTTAGATTGAACATCTACACGTAACAGTGTATTGAATTGTGATACTCGTAGGTATCTTCAAGTCAACATAATTATCTCATTTCAAATGAATTGTTGCTCTCTTGAAATTCTGCATGATGACACGTTTCTAAGAATTTGTTATTGAAATATTGTTGCTTTAAGAAGTTTCCTCACAAAAATTGAGGTACATAATACCAGGCTTTTGGGCAAGATTCCAGAGGAGGATACTTCCTATATACATGTAGCCCTAGTGGAAATCTTATGAATTGCTGATATATCAATAATAATAAATATGTTTGGTATACATGTGTATTGTGATAGAAATGAAAAAAAAATATATTCAGAGAATTTTTCGTCAGATCTAAAAGAATTGATGATCGCATTAATTCCTCTAAGAAAATCGTTGTAAGAATGTAAAAGATATCTTCAATTGAATGAAAGAGATAAATCGTTTATCATTGTTTATGCATAGGTCTTTTTTTTTTTTTTTTTTTTTTTTTTGCAAGCAACGATTCAACCACATTCCTGGGCTCAACAATTTATTTGTTGCCCGCATCAGTTCGTTGGACGAGAGCAATAATGTGGTTCTTGCTCGCAAAAAGTAATTTAGACCTCAGTTTGAATGATTTGTTGATTTCATTAATTCAGTGGAAGTTATCTTTAATTATTAAAACAATTTGCGTGCACAACAACAAGAGAATAAAAATTCAAACATCATAATTCGAAATATTACGAAAGCCTATTAGGATCAAACTACGGTAAAAAAAAAATTAAAAGGCGTTATAACGCCTTCGCATTTTCAAAAGGCGTTATAACGCAAAAAAAGGCGTAATAACGCCTTTTGAAAAGGCGTTATAACGCGGAAAAAGGCGTAATAACGCAAATAAAGGCGTAATTACGCCTTTCCAAAAGGCGTTATTACGCCTTTCTAAAAGGCGTTATAACGCCTTTCTAAAAGGCGTTATTACGCCTTTCCAAAAGGCGTTATAACGCTAAAAAAGGCGTAATAACGCCTTTTGAAAAGGCGTTATAACGCGGAAAAAGGCGTAATAACGCAAATAAAGGCGTAATTACGCCTTTCCAAAAGGCGTTATTACGCCTTTCTAAAAGGCGTTATAACGCCTTTCTAAAAGGCGTTATTACGCCTTTCCAAAAGGCGTTATTACGCGAAAAAAGGCGTTATTACGCCTTTCCAAAAGGCGTTATTACGCCTTTCCAAAAGGCGTTATAACGCCTTTCCAAAAGGCGTTATTACGCCTTTCCAAAAGGCGTTATTACGCCTTTCTAAAAGGCGTTATTACGCCTTTCCAAAAGGCGTTATAACGCCTTTTGGAGCCTTTCTAAAAGGCGTTATTACACCTTTCCAAAAGGCGTTATTACGCCTTTTTAAAAGGCGTTATTACGCCTTTCCAAAAGGTATTATTACGCCTTTCCAAAAGGCGTTATTACGCTTTTTAAAAAGGCGTTATTACGCCTCTTTTTTTTTCAATACATGACTTACTTAGCCCACCCTGGGGGCTGATTATAATTAGATTTCTAGGAAAAAAGATTTTTAAATGTGTAAAATATTTTCAGTGTTAAACCAACTTAGTCCTTCTCTGATGCCAGACGCTTCTACCAAGGTGTATGGATTTCAGAAATTTTGTTGAAGGCTAATTGCTCATTATACCTATGCAAATACTTTGCCTGTTATTTACCAAGAGGAGAGAAAAATATTTCAAATTTGACATGAATTTTTAATACGTGGCTAGCAAAGCCCAAAGCTGGTTCTGCCTATATCCTGGATTTTCAAAAGTAGAGTGTTGACTTCTCTTAATATGCATGCAAAATGCAAACAACTGTCTGCGAGATGTGCAGGAATATAGAAAATACTATAATTTATAATATAATTTATAATATTAAAACTATAATCTAAATATTGCATAAATAAAGATGGCTTTGGTTCAATCTTTCATATATTTACTATTTTAAAATAACGCCTTTCCATTTTTGGATACAACTCCTTTTCAAACAGGCCGGTAGTACGAATGTGAGTGGGGGGGGGGGGGTCCCCCACCCCACTTTTTGGGAGAATAGTCTTGCTATAGTTTAAATATAAAAAATCATTAATTGATTGCTTGGTCCCTTAACATTTTGTTGCAGTATGGTTAAACTCGGACAAGTCATTGCATTTAAAAAAAGTTTTACCGAAAAATTAAAAAAAGTTTCCCCTCAAGTTTAGGCAGTTTATTTTTTTTCGGGGGGGGGGGTTCTTGTTTTTTGTTTGCTTGTCAATTTTATGGGACCCCCCCCCCATTTTAAAAGCACGGGACTGTCAAAGACATAATAATGGCCCTTCAAAAGGCATAATAACGCCTTTTGGAAAGGTGTAATAACGCCTTTTGGAAAGGTGTAATAACGCCTTTTGGAAAGGCGTAATAACGCCTTTTGGAAAGGCGTAATAACGCCTTTTGGAAAGGCGTAATAACGCCTTTTGGAAAGGCGTAATTACGCCTTTATTTGCGTTATTACGCCTTTTTCCGCGTTATAACGCCTTTTCAAAAGGAGTTATTACGCCTTTTTTCGCGTTATAACGCCTTTTGAAAAGGTTATAACGCCTTTTAAATTTTTTTTTTACCGTAGTTTGATCCTAATAGGCTTTCGTAAAATATAGATAAGTGTAGGGCCGTAGCAACGGTTTCAATAGTGGGGGGGGGGCAACTCCCCCCCCCCCCCAAAATCTGACAAGCAAAAAAAAAAAAAAAAAAAAAAAGAAGCTGATTTACTGTCAACAAAATCCTTGAATTTGCCAGTGCTCATGTGTGTGTGTGTGGGGGGGGGGGAGGGGGGGGCAACCAGCATCTAAAGGAAAATTTTAAACCAAAATACTATACTCGGGGAAAAAATGGGGGGTCGCCACCCCACCCCCACCCCCACCCCCCGCCCGGCGCCTGGGTAGATTCGAAGATATCACTGAGTTCTCTCAATAAAATATTAATTGTGTGCATTAATTGAAGTATTGATATCATTAATTCAGTGGAAGATATATACATGTAGCAATAATTCAATTATAGAGCATAAATTGAATTGATGAGCGCAATGTATTAATAGCAGTTTTAGGTTAATGTGATGGTGATTATACAGGTGGTAGGATGAATAGTCCGATCTTGACGTGGGGCTGTTACGCGTCAATTAATTGAAGTGAGCAATTATTCACTTATTCCACGCATTAATTATCATTGAATTATTGCTTTCTTCAATTGAATTATCGCATGCATCAATTCAATTGTTGATATGATTAATTTATTTGAGTTTAAGAAAGAATTGATGCACGCAATTATGTATTAACTAAAGATATTAATTAATGTTTGAAGAGACCTTCGAATTGGTATTGTGGGTGCTTCATCAAGGTGGGAAAAAAGAGAAAACACTGGTCATATAAATATTTTCCATCTATACTCTGTATGCTATAAATGAAGCACGTGTTTCCAAGGGAGAATCAAGATATTTTTCTAAAAGGGACTGGCATACTCTTTCAAGGGAAAAAAAAATCTTCCAACTCAAAAAAAAAATATGTATCTGACCGTTTCTCAATAATTTTGATATTTATATTATTTATAGCCCTGGGGAAAAAACCAATCTCATGTGCAGAGTTGCCCCCCCCCCCCCCCCCCGACTAAAAGTAATTCAATTTACGAACGAGTTGATTATAATAATAATCTCAAACTATGTACGACTTACTCAAGAAAAAATCCATGTAAACAAACTAATTTTCATCAAAGGTAAAAATGTTTTATTTATGTTATTCCAGGGATTACATCATTTTAATGATAAATATTACGTAGCTTTAAGGGTTTATTCCAACATTTGGCTTGTTCGGTCTAGTTAAAATAATGGATTTTAAATCTCATTTCTTAATTTTATGACATAGGAAATTCGGTTCAAAATCCACTTTGTTATCCGGAGAGTTAATTTTACAGAAATTATAGTTTGAAAAGTCAACACAGTGCATTGATTTTCCTCCATTCAGTTTAGGTCCGAGTTTTAGCCATTTCCACCATAGGGGCTTGTCTTCCAGATTGTTAATTTTAAATAAATTTAAAATATTTTGAATCTTCTTTAAATACACTGAAAAGTTGTTAAAATAGAGATTCTGACTCTTTCACTCAAGAAAAACCACGTTTTAAAAAGACGTACCACACTTATATACATAAACTCTACAATGAAAGCTGAAAGCTTTCGTCTTCGAAAAAATACCACAACCCACTTCAGTGCCTATTTCTGAACTCTAAAGCATTAATTTATTTCGTTGCCATAGTTCTGTCCTCTACAGTGATGATTTTCCTAAATGTTGATGCGTTTGTCAGTCGTCAACATGTGTTTAACCAACAGAAAACGGATACAGTTTCTTTGATTTGGGGCTTATTTTTCTAAATCGACCTGGGGAGAACGGAAGTTTACAAAATCGCAAAGGCAGATAATCAATATGTAGGGAAAACTCAGAGGGTAATCGAAAGTGAATGGTAACACCCAAGGACTTCCAGTTTCGCGGAAAAAATGTTTACCGACAAGAAAAGACAGTGAAATTGATAAATACTGGCTAAAGTTTCGTTTTCAGGGACTAAGGCGGCACCGGGAAGACTCATTTCATTTAATGTATAAATAATTTATTACATAATTTACAGTACACTTGCTATACAAGCGCGCTATATGTTATACCACGATTATCAGAATTGCGTTGTTACCATGCAACCATGTAAACTTCCATTCTCCCCAGGTCGATTTAGAAAAATGAGCCCCAAATCGAAGAAATTGTATCCATTTGCTGTTGATTAAACACATGTTGACGACTGACAAACGCATCAACATTTAGGAAAATCATCACTGTAGGGGACAGAACTACGGCAACGAAATAAATTAATTTAGAGTCCAGAAATAGGAGCTGAAGTGGGTTGGGGTATTTTTTCCAAGACAAAAGCTTTCGTCCCTTGTAGAGTTTATGTATATAGGTGTGGTGCATCTTTTTTAAATGGGGTTTTTCTTGACTGAAAGTGTCAGAATCTCTATTTTAACAACTTTTAAGTGTATTTCAAGAAGATTCAAAATTTTTTAAAATTTATTTTAAATTTAACAATCCGGAAGACAAGCCCCTATGATTTCCACCTGCAAAATTTACAAAAATTTTCCCAATGCCGGACAATGGACACACACATTCACATGTGCAAATCAGTAATAATTGAAGATTTTAAAGCTTAGCAAGGTGAAAATTAATAATGTAATACAAAAGATAAAATTAGTATAGATCAAATCAAATTTTTGCATTGCTTTTCAAGTCTAAAAATTTTCCAAATACAAAAGCTACATGCCCATTTACAGAAATAGAGAAATGTTTGATAATTAAATCTTTAATACATATGTTATAGGAGAGGGAGAATAGTGTGATGGGTCAGATAGGGATTCAAACCCAGGCCCCCTGAATCACTATAGTCAGGTGTTCAGTAGTCAGACAGGTTCAATCGCCAGTGGACAAATAACCCAGTCAGTAAAGCACCTGAATAGTGATTCAGGGGGTTCAGGTTTGAATCCCTGTTTGATCTGTCACAAATATCTTAAGGTGTTTTCCATGTAATATCATTGTTTGACCAACTAAATTGTGTAGAAACACTTTTGAAAATCAACATTCAGTATTGGATTTACTGTTAAGCATAGGTATTCTTTATTTGTAGAGTATATTATTTAATATGCCAACAGTTAAAAGTGGAAATTATTCATACTCCATTAACTCATTATGTTTTGTTTCCCAGAAATGCCAGATTAATCTTTGATAAAAAAAAAAAAATAGGAAGGGGAGGTTTGTCAACAAACCTTGGAGATACATGTATGTACCTATGTCAAAATATGTATCATTAGGCAATTGTGTTTCCTATTTAATGGAATCGGTCCTGATTGGTTATGACTCTTTGTCATATTGCATGAGAAAAAAATGAAGATGCAGTTTTAAATTTATCACATAACATATCAAGCAAATATGTTATTTTCAGGTCCAAACATTTGGTTTCCGTCTCCTCAACCTTCTTTGTATGCAGAATGTATAACCTTCATTTAATGGTTTTCTTGACAACATGGACAAGTACTTTTATTATTAAACATTAAATTTTAGAGTATTCTTTCCTGAAAACTGTATATCCTGTTTATGGTTAGTTATGATTAGTTTCACTGAAATATATTTCAGATTGAAAAGAATGTCTATATAAAACCGGCAGACAAAATGACTGAGGCAACATTTGAGGAGTTTTCAATAGACATTGATGAATCAAGGGCAGGGCGTGGAGGACCTCCTGTCAATCTCTTTAATGTGGACATGAAGTACCAGTCAATTGACTTTACACCAGAGACATCTAGTGGTGAACAGGATGTCAAAGCAGTGGAAGATAACTCTGTAAGAGCCTCAACTCCCCCTCCCCCACCTTTGGATATCTTTGGTTTTGATATGAAATACACTGAGGATCCCTTGGAAGATCAGAATGATTCCTCAGGAAATAATGGCTCGATGGGGAGTGTGGGTCCGAGCCTTACAAGCATTAATTTTGGAAATTTGTCAAGAATGGAGTCTACTGAAAATAAACCAAGTTCAGTTTCCTCAAATGAAGCAAAGGGAACTGCTCAACAGAATCTAGAGAAGAAGCCTGAAGCTACCCAGAATGCACAACAGTCTGTTCTTATGAAGAATGTGCTTCAAAAAATAAAGACTTCGCAGTCAAGTAGTGGTGAAACAGTGAAGATAGAGCAACAAACAACGGAAGTAAAAATAACAAAAACAGAAGGGGGACAGGTAAAAGTTTTACTTATCATTTAGAAAATGATAATGTGTGATGTTTATTTTTTAAAAATTTTTCCTAAATAGAATAAAGTTTATCTTGATTGTTTCATTATTTAAACAATTTTATCACATTTATGTGGCATTTTGGCATGCTATCCATATTTAGCAGAATTTAGTTTGTAATTACACAAAAGTATGTTGCACAACTTTATCCTGAAAAATGAGTATCTACCCTAACAATTAATATTAAAATTACATACATGTATCTTGATTAAATATTGTGAACCAGCTTTTATGCATGGCGAGAATTCTTGAGTTTTGCGACCTTCTTTTACTCAGGAATATATCTGTGGCAAAATATTTATTAAATAAATTGTGTATTTATGTCAAATGTTTCCTCAGTCATGAAAATTAGTTGTCGTTGATGAATTTCATACTGACAAAAAAAAAAAAAATAATAATAAAACTTAGTTCAAATAATTGTTGGTTTACACTATCAAAGAAAGATTATTTGTTTTCTCAGTTAAGTTCTGCATAATTAAAGATGACAAATTTAATTTATCTGCCATATATTCTTTCTTTGACACAGAAAATAACAGAGAAAAGCAGTGCCTTGACAATTGAAAACAACTCAAGAACAAAGAGTTGTGAGGATTCAGATGATGAATTCGATTTTGATGTACCTACAAGTAAAAACACACCGCAGAATCTCACTGCTCAAACCGATATCCCAAATACAAAAGATTCTAGCTTACCATTCCCTGCATTAAAATCTCAGACTGCTACAGAATCTGTAAGTCCATCTACAAATGTAGAAAATCAACCAACTGTGAAAGTTGTGTCTGGTACAGATGTCCCAATTGGTCCAGGAGGAAATGTTCCTGGGGAGAATTTGGCCAATCAAGGAATATCTCATGTGACAGCAGACAAACAGAAAATAACCTCGCAGGGTCAGACCGTTAGTGAAATAGGGAATTCTGTATTGAAACAGGTGAAATATACTGCATACATTTTGCAAGCTGTGAGCTTGAATGATTATGTTTGACCAAACACAAGGGAAGAATTGCCAGTGGCAAAGCATTATGACAATACAGAAGCCTTAATTTATAAATTTGAACACTACTTTTTGTTTGATTATTGCATCTAGAAGTGTGCAGATTTATTAAATAGCTTCTCTGAAATAGAATTGAATTATTATCTTTTTATATTCTGTATTAATGCTGCATTGCAATAATAATGTTTTATATGAATCTTGATTTTGCATTTTAAATGAAATGTATCACATGGTTCAAGATAAAATTTTTAATTTTTTTTTTATTTGATAGGTTTGTGAGAATGGGGCAATATCTGAAACATTCCATGTGAACAATCGTGCTGAGGACGAGTGGGACAAGGTGCAGACCATTGAAGCAGGTAAACATGGCGTCTTCTTCATCCCAATATAATGTTTGAATTAAATCATGACATTTTACTGAATGTGTACCAGAAAGAATCAATTGTAGATTTTTGTAGCTAAAATCTTCAATCTTTTTCTGTTTATAGGGTTTGTGGATGAGAATGATACCAGAAAGAAAGGTAATGTAACCCCCCTCCCCCCCCCCCCAAAAAAAAAAAAATAAATAAATAAAAAATATTGATATAAATGATTAAAGAAATTGTATCTCCACCCCAGGAAAAGAAATTAAGAAGGTTACTCCCCTCCCCTCCCTAACCAATCTAATTAAAATTAGACTTCTTATATCTGTGCCACACATGTATACACTCTTACACTGGATGTAAGGTCTAAGAAGTTTAATTTCAATTTGACTGCATCCCCACCCCCCTCAGTAAATTAAGAATTGATATAAAAAAAATTTAGAGAAATTGTACTACCCCCCCCCCCCCCCCCCCCACACACACACACACACACACATTCTAAAAAATAAAAATAAATTAAAAAAGATATTAATTAAAAAAGACAAAAAAGGGAAGAAACTGATGTATGCAAAGTACTGAACAGTTTGGTATGTGTATATGTGTTTTTGAATTAAAATAATGATCAAATTTAAATCTTTCTGAGTAGCTTTTGGTTTGAAGGCAAATATAATAAACCTTTTATTCTGTCCACAGAGAGTGTCGTGACCAATGCTCCAATGCTGTCTTTCTTTGAGATGTTGGAACACTTTGTCTCCGAGGATTTCTCAGGAGTAAAGGTCAGTATAACACAACCTCCGACAACAAAGAAAATGGTCAGTGCCAATTCGTACAATAATATTAATACATACCTTTTTATACGTCCGTCTTTAGATGGGACGTATTATGTTATGGCGTTCATGTCCGTCCATCTGTCTGTCTGTTAGCTTTTCTCGTGTCCGGCTCTTAACTTTAATACTATTAGGCCTAGGATTATCAAACTTTGTCAGCTGATACTTCTTGGGTAGAAGGTGTGTCGCGCACTAAAAGTAGGTTGCTCTGACCTTTAATGAAGATGCTATGGCCAAATATGGAAAAATCCTGTCCGGCCCATAACTAGAAAACTATTGGACTTAGAATCATCAAACTTGGCCAATTTATGCATCTTAGGTAGAAGGTGTGTCGCAACCTATTTCAAGGTCACTGTGACCTTTTATTTAAGTGAAATTAAAAAAAAAAAATTGCCTTTTTACTATTAGATTACACAATCCCAAAAAATGCAAGAGTGTTGCAGTATCCTTGTTTAAAAAATGTTAAATCAAGAAAATACTTATTTTTTTCATTATATACTTTACAGCAATCTGTAACAAATGTAATGTTACAAGAGAAATTCCACCTCTCCCATGGGTGTAATTATCAAGCACTGGTCAAGGAGAATTTGATAACAGAAAATTGCATGTCAAATTAGAGAGAAATTAATGAGTTTAGTGTGAGGAGCTAACTGGTAGAGCATCTCTGATCAAGCAGGTGTTATCTATATCTCTTGGGAACTGGGCAAAAAGAATCATTCGTATTGGATTAAATAGTTGGCTAACCCAACCTTTAAAATGAATTTGGTGAAAAGTAATAAAAACTTATTTGATATTGTATAATAAATTAATTTGATATTGAATAATAAACTAATTTGATATTGTATAATATAATTAAAACTAATTATACTTGGGGGAGGGGGATACTGGAATCAGCATGCCTATTGTCCATATGAATTGCAGCTTAAAACCAGTCTGACATTAAATCTAAAAAAAAATAAAGTATTTAAAAAAAAGGTTTTAATTATGGTAGATAGTCCCTACAAATCTAAGAGTAATGCAGGAACCTTATTAAAAATGTTGCATTAAGATTGCACAAGTTTTTTTTCTTTTTATAAATCTTTGTAACAAATTAAAAAAAAATCTTTGTTTTCAAATTTAACTTCAGAATGACATAAATACATGTATGCATTTTTATTGCACTACAAAGCAGGTAGTATGTATAGATCCATTCATCCATTGGGAGTAATGAGTGGACATGCATCCAGTTAAAGATTAATTAATGAGTTCAGTGTAGGAAGGCTACATGTAGCTGTCTCAATCATTTCTGTTAGAGGATCTCTGATCAAGCAGCTCTTATCTGTATCCTTTGGGAATTATACAGAAGAACTGCTTGTCAGTTTATAGGATATGTCATTTAATGGTCAGCCTTTTATTTTTAAAATTAATTTGATATACCCATGGCAAAGTGGAAGGCAGTTATATAGCAGTTTCTTAGCCTTATAACAGTTTGAACTTTTTAGCAGTTCTGGAGCAGTTACTTAACCTTCCCTAGACTGCTAATGGATAAACAAATTGCTTTCAAACCTTTTGTAATCTATAAGCAGTTTTCTTAGCCTTACCAGTTCGTAACCAGTTCGCAAGCAGTTTACAGGCAGTTTCCTAGCAGTTCATTATCAGTTTCTTAGCAGTTCATAGGCAGTTATTTAGGCAGTTTTTGCTAACTGCTAGTGGACTTCCAGTAAACTATTATATACTGCTTATCTATTTCCCTTTTACAAAATAAATATTTAATAATAAGTCAGTAGGACATTTTCTATTATCCAGCGTGAAATAATATGCAGTTATAAAAGAGCTACCTATATCAGAAATGCTTGTTACATTTTAATTTATTGTATTTTGTACAATATTGTATAACACAGTCAAACAATTAGAGATAGCTAAGATGAATGTTTAAAAAGTATCAAACACTGTTTTATGCATGTTATTATAATCAGTGTAACTAATAATTAATATATGTATCTTATTTACATACACATGTACAACCATGCAATTATACTCACTGACTAGTAAGAAATCTTATATATCCCAGGGCATGTAAATAATGTTCAACAAGATTCAACACTGAAGGAAAAAGTCAAAAGTACAGCAAATATTCACTTCATCCAAACACCACAAGGCCACAAATTAATAAATATATTGAACTTACCAATTGTTAAATGTCTAAATCATTATTTCAATAAATCTAAAGCTTTGTGGCCAGCAGGCTCCCTCTTCATGATGCTTTATAGCCTTTGTCCAACAATACAACATGGCAGCCAAGAATTGAATTCTGGCGGTCTGTTGTTGGGTTCCTGTTGTTTATATTTGTTGATCATTGACCCCAACTTTAAAATTTCTCTTGAACCCAATCAAATTATACAAGGAAACTGCTTACAAACTGCTTACAAAACTGCTTAGGAAAACTGTCTTCTCCTCAAGCATAGGCAACCAAGATATAACTGCTAGGGAAACTGATTACTGCTTAAAACCTGCTAAGGAAAACTGTTTACTCCCAAGGCACTAGCAGTCACAAAAGAACAGAAAAAAGCCAAACTGACTGAAACTGTTTGAAAACTGCTTAAAATTAGCAAAACTGCTAAAGAACTGCCTAATAACTGCCCATATAGGCAGTTCACTTTTCCATGGGTAGATTAAGTTGCTAAGACTCAATTGATTTGTTTAATATGATATTTTTATTTATTTTTTTGAAAATATCAACTAATTCAGAGCATCATGTCTCACAAATCTGAAAGCTGAGGGGGGGGGGGGGGGGGGGGGGGGGACTGCAGATGGGCATTTGTCAAGCTCTAACACAACCAGTTGAGGATCTATAATATAATATTTGTTATAATTAATGCCTACACCACAGAAGATGTATAAACAAATATTATAAGGAATGGAAAAATCATTGAAATCCTTGTATCAAGGTTGTTATGATTTTCTTGCACTCTAAACTGTTTATGACAATTGAACAATATTTGACGGGCGTATCATGCTGTGGCGGGGCACTTTATTTACTTGCTGTCAAGCCCAACAAATGATAAATGCAAGTATGAAAATTGAATAAGTCATGTTGTGTATTAGCTGTTGGAGAAAGATGCTGTATGTTAGACTAATTTTCGGAACTTTGTATGATTTCAGGACAAAATTCGGACAACAGTAGAACGCCATGGTTTTTCTGCACTGAAATACTTCCTCTTTGGTCCTCCAAAACTACATAAAAATCTACACGAGGAAAGAGATAGGATATTTTGTATAGCTGCATGTAAGTAATTTTAATATAAAAAAAACTTTTAATGACAAAATTTAAAACCTGAATTTCAGAGAGCTTATTTCATAAATTAAAAAAGCTATTACCCAAAACTTTCTCAATCAAGATATCTACATTCTTTGTTAAAAATTCAGCATGTACTTTATTTGGGGGATGTTAAAAAAAACAAATATACATAACTAGCAGTTCTTAAAGAATTTTAAAGCTTCAAAAGCAACAAAATTGAAATGTTGTCCATCACAACTGTATGTACTCTAACTTAAAATGGTCTCTCATACTTCCCACGTATTGAGTTCCAACAATATCAGTTTTGAATCTTTTTGTTTTTCCAGCGGTGCTAGAGAATTCTAACCAGATCCATATCAGATCTCTACAGACAATTTATCGCAGTCTTACAGGGTCAAGGTTTGACTGTCCTCGCTTTGGAAACCACTGGGAGGAAATAGGATTTCAGGGTAAGTTTTGAAAATCAAATAAATCTTTTTATCATGTACATAGAAAATCAAATTAATCTATTTATCATATACATAATCTATTTATCAAGTTATAACAATTTACCAGACAGTTTAAGTTGATACTGTAATGGTATGGTAAACATCTTATCTACCATAGATCTATCGAGATAGCTATTTGATATTGATAAGTGAGACAAAATTTTCACTAACTGTGGTTGTTGTATACAATGGAGTTGTCAAACAGCAGGTTTGGGTGATGAAGGTTGGGGTGGTTAAATCTGATCTATTTGCTTTTACATTTCAGGCAGGGATCCATCAACAGATCTGAGAGGTGTAGGATTATTGGGACTGTTACATTTGATTTACCTGTTGCGTGATGCCAAGCGACAAGTGCTGGCCAGTGAAATTTACAAGCTTTCCCTTCACCCCACTCAGGTATAAATATAGCTATAGCTATCTTAATGGAATTTATACATCCCGTCTTCAGCACATGTAAAGTTATTCTAACTCTGGTCTTAGAAAGAATTTATGTAAGAAAGGGGGAAACTTCTGGTTGTCAAATTTTGTAGACTGTGTATTATTCCAATACTTATTGAACAATTTCATTTCACTATAAGTGTATTCATATCATACATAGGTACATATATATATCATACTGTACCATGAAATTTACAGTCTAATAGGTCATTTTAATCAACTGATACACATAACATAACAGTCATATGTTTTTATTAGTGCATTCAAAAATTCCTGTTATAAATTGTGCATTGTAGAACTTCCCATTCTGTGTAATGTCCATTAATCTGTCCAGAATCGCCCTCCAGGCTCTCAGAGAAGGTTGTCTCAACAAGTAAGGAATGAAATGTCTTATAAATATGTACTTCTTAATCAGTCAGAAGAAATGTAATATTGCAGAAGACATGACATAACAACACTTTAAACACATTCAACCGTGTATGGACATAAACGATTTTGATATACATGGACAGATCGGAGAAGTGTTCAGAAGATGCATGTTGGTTTGTTTATAATAAAAAGCAGCATATGACATGCTATAAACATCTAAGTGCTTTAATTTTCAGAGAGTGCAATAAACAGAAGGAGGTCCTTCCTGTGGTGTGTGATTTTTACACTGGTCTATATCTCCAGATGTACCAGGTGTGGAAATCCCAGGGAAAAACCATCTCTGACTCGGGCTTTGTTTTGCAGCGTAAGTATCCCAGGGGGAAACCATCTCTGCTCAGGCTTTGTATTACAGCGTAAGTATCCCAGGGGAAAACAATCTCTGCTCAGGCTTTGTATTACAGCATAAGTATCCCAGGGGAAAACCATCTCTGACTTGGGCTTTGTTTTACAGCGTAAGTATCCCAGGGGAAAACCATCTCCGACACGGGCTTCGTTTTACAGCGTAAGTATCCCAGGGGAAAACCATCTCTGACTCGGGCTTTGTTTTACAGCGTAAGTATCCCAGGGGAAAACTATCTCCGACTCAGGCTTTGTTTTACAGCGTAAGTACCCCAGTGGAAAACCATCTGTGACTCGGGCTTTGTTTTACAGCTTAAGTATCCCAGGGAAAAAACATCTCGGACTCAGGCTTCATTTCACAGCATAAGTATCCCAGGGGAAAACCATCTCAGACTCGGGCTTTGTTTTACAACTTAAGTATCCCAGGGGAAAACCATCTCTGACTCGGGCTTTGTTTTACAGCGTAAGTATCCCAGGGGAAAACTATCTCCGACTCAGGCTTTGTTTTACAGCGTAAGTACCCCAGTGGAAAACCATCTGTGACTCGGGCTTTGTTTTACAGCTTAAGTATCCCAGGGAAAAAACATCTCGGACTCAGGCTTCATTTCACAGCATAAGTATCCCAGGGGAAAACCATCTCAGACTCGGGCTTTGTTTTACAACTTAAGTATCCCAGGGGAAAACCATCTCTGACTCGGGCTTTGTTTGACAGCGTAAGTATCCCAGGGGAAAACTATCTCTGACCCAGGCTTTGTTTTACCGCGTAAGTACCCCAATGTTAGGTGGCAAATTCTATCCAATCATAATCTAGTTTATGAAACGTGTAACTTAAAGTTCAGTAAAAGTAGCCTTCATTGGCTCATTAATGTCAGCATGCTTATTAAAGACAACTGGTTAAATGTATATCCAATTATTTCAGTGTCAATAATAAAAAAAAAGAACATTGATCAGAAATAACAATAACTTTTTATAGAGCTTGAGGTATTCACTGAAAGCAAGTTATACTTCATAAGTTTATTTGATGATTGAAATTACACATGACAAAAAGATTTCAAAGTGGAAATCAAAATAATTACACATGATGGTATGATGTTGATACTCAATTTTACATAATTGAATATTTTTTTAAAACACTGACAGATATTGAAAATCATGCGAAGAGGAATCCCCATGCAGTAATGAAAAACCTAGAGGAGTACCTAGCTAAGAAGAAATCGGCAGCCAACCTTGATAACGTGAATCTTGGAGAGGAGCAGTTCACAAGTGTTGTTGATTCTGAAACAGCAGGACACTATTAAAAATTTAACAAGTTTTTTAATTAAAGAATCATCTAATTACAGGGTTTTTAACATCTTGGCAAATTAAAAGTCCTATAAAAATGTTTTTGTAATTCTATTCAAGTGTAAGATTTCATTTTGTTTTGGTATTGAATCATGAACATTGCATTCTTAAGGCATTGAAGTTCCATAATTCTGAAACAAATACAAATAATTTATTTTAGTCATTTAGGACATTACTATTCCTGTCAGATTTTGTTACACATACTAAAGATGTGCACAAAAAACTTTATTTCAATTGGCTGCTTTGAATTTATTAGAAATGGTTATACATTGTTGTGCAGAAAGAGGGCATTAAAAATTCCTAATTAGTCTATATGAAATTCATATTATATTCTCCCTCACTATGTTCGTCCGAATATAAAACAATTATATTCTAAGTATGAGAGTAATGAAAAGAACTCATATGTTAGGAATGGTACTCACTATAACCTTTTATTTTGCACTGCCTTATATAATTATAATACTGATTCAGTCTATTATAAATAATTGTTTCGTTAATCAATACATTCAGAAGCGTAAACATACATAAAATATCAAATACATAATGTTTATGTTATTTTTAAATATACGTGTATACCCGTAGGTTATAGCCAGACTCGATAATCGAACATGAATGAGTGAGGATATATATAGTTTGTGATCACGTGATAACTATGAAATGCAACGAATTTAATTTTATTTATTTGCATATTTTAAAATGGTACAAAATTGTATAATCTGATTGAAAACCTTTCTTGAAAACTATTCTCAATATTCAAATGATTATAGTTGTAAAAATTCTGGATTAAGATATTGTTTTTAGTTGGCTGATATATGTAAAATGACAAGAAAGTGCAATATAATGACACGTACATTATGTTTAGAGTGATATCCATCCTGCATTCTTTGTTCAAGTCTATCAGGTAAAGAACTTAAAAAAAAAAAACCCAGATAAATATACATGTATGATTCTGTATTTATTAATGTACTATGGTAGGGTTATGACCAGATCTGAAAATAATCGTGAATCAGGGATGGGGTAATCGTAATCGAGTAATCGTAATCGATTGTAATGATTACTTTTTTTCAAGTAATCGACAGTAATCTGTAATCGAAGAGATTTTCGATTACTTGTAATCGTAATTTAATCGATTACAGCTAAAATTTTCAATGTAATTATAATTACTTTTTCGATTACTTTCGATTATTTTATACATAAATGGATGTTATTTTGGAGAATTATTTCCAGTCAGTCACACATAAATATCAAATATAAACCACGTAGTGTAATGTTTGGATTTCCCAACTTTTATTATCATAAGTTTGATAATGTTCTCAATAAAATTTGCATTATAGAGCTACTGGTCTAGTATTAAATAATTCAGAAGTGTATTTCAACCATTTATTAATAAAATATACAGATTTTTCGAGTGCATTTTACATTTAACCCACTGTCCTTTTGCTGCATGTCCTTTTTCATATTTCAGATGTTGAAAAACTTTGTCTTGTAATAGAAAATTACAAATAGCAAAAACAGATTTAAATGCTTTATTAAATATAAATATTTTGGTAAATAATTATAAACTACATTGTACTCGGAAAAAAAAGAAGATGGAAATACTTATTCATATCTGAAAATGTTTAAACAACTTCAAACTTGTGTTTTAGTAACTTTAAAATTTGCAAATTCATTCTCATGTTTTCATTCAAAATTGTAAGGTTGTTTTTATATCCATGAGAGGCTTCAAGTGTCTGAAAGAGAGGGAGTAAGTGTCACTGTGTTTGCTTATCTTAATTGGCTAATTATTTGACTGGGACATCCCTAATTTGCAGATAATGAGGTGTAAACTGTGAACTACCCAGTGTTTAACTTTCATTCCATTTAAGACAAACAATATTATTAAAACAAATAATAAGCTCTCAGAACACTTATGAAATTGTGCTATTAGTTTAATTACTTAAAGACACATATAATTTATATGTTTATTACTAAGAGTTCTAATTTACTTATTTTTTTGAAAAAGATAAGTACAGGAATGTTGAATGTGTACTGACAACATACGGGCAGCCCATATACTTCTAATGAAGTTATTAATTCACAATAAAATATTAACTAATTTTTGCAACAAGAAAATAAATATGGAGGTTCAGATCCAAGGTTGAAATGAATAATTAATTCCCTGGCATATTTTATTGTAGGAATCATGTATCCACTTTCCATGGTAGAGAATCCCTCATTTGGGCATTTAGTGAGAACATCAACATTTACCATTTAAATATTGCTTTGATATATGAAGGGATAAAAACTTAGAAGTAATCGATTATTAATCGATTACATCTTCCAAAGTAATCGATTACAATCGATTACAGGACAAAAATGAGTGTAATCGATTAATAATCGATTACACAAAATTCCTCTAAGTAATCGATTATTAATCGATTACATTTTTCAGTAATCGTGCCCATCCCTGTCGTGAATCATCTTAGTCCTTGTAAATTGTTGTAGATTGTATGAAAGGGAACATAATCAGGTCTACTTTATCATTAGATCTCTGTTTATTGATGTACATTATTATAATGTATATAAGAGATGCAGTATTTTTATATAATGTATCATGTGATATTAATTATTTGACAGTTGTGTTAGTCCTGTGATTCACTGATTTACAGTTAGTGTTGTTGGTTTTATATTTAATATATACTTAGTTCTCCGTCCTTTGTTTCAAATTTGTAATTCATGATGTTGATGCCTTCAAAACTGACAATTAATAAAATTGATTTTAAAAAAAAAGTAGTAATCCATTGTTCAGTAAAGTTATGGATAGAATACTTTGTAGTTTTCCTTATTTTGACTTTTCAAGGTCCAGTTGAAATTTGATAATTGACGCAAACTTCAATATGTCGAATACCATAAAAGTGTCAAAGTAAATTGGAGGTCCCAACGACCTTTACTTTCTGAATTTTAACTTCCATATCGAGAATCATCAGATATTCCATCAAGTTCACTAAAACAAGGTTTGACCGTACATTGTATTTATATTCCTCATATCAAGGAAGTCAATGTGGTTAGCTGTTTAAGCAAATGTATTTAAAAATCACTTATAAATTATTTTGTGGTAAGATTATCATTTAATGATTTTTATGCACTTCACATTGCATGGATTTATTATCAGACAGTGGTGAATTCGAATGTAATCTAACGCACAGTTGTAACTTGTGTTACAATTAATGTAGTCTTCAATTGTTTAAATTTTTCCCAATTCAAATAATTAGTGATAAACTTTACCAATGATAATAAATTTCATGTAATGATAACTACATCGTATGTTTAATACATATACTAGTATAGACGATTTTATTAAAATTTGTGGTCTACTTTTACCACAGTATTTTCGAGAAGAATACTACCAGGTACTTGTCAATGAATAACTAAAACAAAACTGAGCTGGATATACACATGATATCTAATAGTCCTTCAGTTTGGAAGATCTGAATTTAACTTAGATGTATATGTTGAAATAAATTTCTTTCTTGTGTTGCTGTCAGCTAAATAAAAAAAATATATAAATTATACTCTTTTATGTTAGGGGCTTTAAAAAGAGCAGGTGCTTCCTAAATCATGATATTCCAAACTTCTAAAATTCTGTTTTTAAAGTTTATTGAAACATTAAATGTTGGGTACAGTTCAGGCATTATTTTTATAGATTTAGATGTCGTTTGATAAAGGATTGTAGTAAATAAACTGATAACTAATTTGAAACGCTACCCGTAGATATATTTATTTATTCCGCCAATGCGATTTAAACCCCTTAATTATAACCTAATTAGGTTCACACAAAGAGATAACTGCCTTAATGATGGTCATATTATTTCACATTTTTTAAAAAGCAGTTCTATTGTTTATCAAGGTATTCCAAACATACTTCTAGACGTCTACTTGTAAAATTTACTCAAACTAATTGTTTTGTACATTTCAGGCATTAGATTTGTTGTCATTGGGTACATTCGAACGATAACCTACGTCTGCTAGTAATCAATACTTCTCAAGTTTTGTTATGCATACCTTTAGCTGTTTAGTGTGATTTAAACCTCCAAAGCCCACAAGAGATCTTGAGGTATAATTATATATACTACCCGAATTCATTGGCAAATTTACTCGAACTTACCAGTGCCGTTTTTGTTTGGAATTCAGTTGTCTAACGCAAGTTATTACGGAAAAAATCAAACAAATGGCACAAACGGCTTTTGCACAGCATTTTGTCGAATGTTCGAAGTGCGAAGAAAATGCTGAATTTTACTGCAAAAATTGCAAAAAGGATCTTTGTCAAATTTGTGAAAGGGATCATCTTAAAAATACAGCCAGTGCTTCTCATGACATTGTGCTCCTACAAGAAAAATATGGAGCAACCTTTATCCAGGAGAAATGTTCCATACATAGTGGACAAGTTTACAGCCTGTGCTGTCAGCAATGTCAACTTCCTATCTGTGAAATATGTAGAGAAGACTCAAAACACAAGAAGCATAGCTTTATGAACTTGGAAAATGCGTGTCACACGATCAGAGAAAAGTGCAAAGTAAGGGTATCTAAAATCCGAAAGGAAATTTTGCCCCGTTGCATATCTATGCAGCAAGATATTCAAGCGGACTTGTTATCGCGTAAAGAAGAAATTGATCAGATTTTGTCTCTCTTGACATCCAGAGGTTTGAAAATGAAAGCACTTATTGAGAATGTAATCGAGGAAAACGAAAGAAGCTTGAACGGAATCCGAAAATTACAGGAATCGGAGCTAGAAAAACAGGATTGTGAAATCACCAATTATATAGCCCATCTTAAAACTATGGTTGAAAGGTTTGACCAATCAGATAACAAACCAGCAGAATTTCTATTCTACCTTAGAGACAATCCAATTTCAGAAAAGGACGATGTTCCCCACATAATGGACATACCCCTACCACTTCTAACCGAGGAAAACATAGCAATGGAAGATGTTATCAAATATTTAGGTCATATAGAAGAAGTACCAGGAAATGAACCAAGGCAAACCAAGAAAAGTGAGTACATTTCTTACGATGTTCCGAATCTCCAAGTAATGGATGGAGCTGAAAAGGTGAAATCCATCAAGGTCAAAGGCGTCAACGAATGCTACCAGATTTCTCATGTCTCATCCAACAAGTTTTGGGTAAGAGATGAAAATATTATTTTGTCGGACAGTTCTGGAAAAACTTTGCATCAAGTGTCTAACATTTCGGATGAATGGGCCATACAATCTGTGACCAAAGAAGAAGAGTTGATTTTCATCGACAAAGAGACAAATATTTGTAAACTTTCTGTCGATTTGAAGAAAAAGAATATTCTTCTTCCAAACAAAGATCCATGGATGCCTTGTAGTATCTACGCGTCCAGACTAACCGGGGATATTCTAGTTGGTATGATGAGAAAAAAACAGGGGTCTGAGGAAAACTCGACTTTAGAAGCCAAAGTAGTGCGATTAAATTACTCTGGCAGTGAAATGCAATCTTTTTCCCTCGGTGTAGCAGGCCAAGCCCTTTATCAATACCCTCGCTACATCACAGAGAACTGCAATGGGGACGTGATCGTGTCGGACCATAGTAAAAATGCAGTGGTGGTGACGGATCATAGAGCAAAACATCGCTTTTCCTATAAAGGACCCCCCTCCAGTTCAGAATTTTGGCCGAGAGGACTTTGTACAGACGCAATACTGAACATCCTTGTGTGCGATTATAAAACAGACACCGTTCAAATGATTGACCAAAACGGCCATTTTCTTCGGCTTTTACTTACAGTGAAAGATAAGATAGATGAACCATGTTGTCTGAGTTATAACACAGAAGACAATCTTCTCTTGGTCGGGTGTAGAGACAGTAGACGTGTTTCTGTGTTTAGATATTTGTAGACAGGCAGTAGAGACGGTTTCTGTGATAAGATATTTGGAGAGAGAGATAGGGAGTAGACGATTTTCTGTCTTTAGATGTAGACCTGTGTCTCTGTTTAGATATTTATAGACACAGTAGACATGTTTCTGTGTTTAGATGTTTGAGAGATTTAGAGGATTAATAAACAATGAGATAACAAAGGATTTAAGGCTTACATTGGTTATTTCTATTCTCCACTCATCTGCAGTTCATAGATTCCTACATTGTTACGGAATAGAGTTTACATTGTTTTGGATTGTCTTTCTAATTTAATATTTGGTTGTTAAATATTGATGCATGAAATAAAGACTGTTTTATTATTCGCATAAATATATTTTAAATCTCGATATTCTACAAAATATATTGGGCACTCTGGTCCTTGCTGCTGATTGCTTATTAAGAAAGGTTAAATGAGAATTAATAAGAATCTAACCCTAATGATGTGAATATATATAAAAAAAAAATTATGACCAAAATACCATATAAACAATACAATTTGTGAGCAGAGCAAGACAAGGATCTCTGAAAACATCACAGGTGGGATAAGAAACTACGGAGGAGTAAGCATCCCCTATCGACTGGTCACACCCGCCCATGAGCCCTCTTGTCATGATCAGCTTAAGACAATTTAATATGAAAATGATGGCCTAATTAACAATTTAAATGAAAAATTCAGTCAATATTCGACCTAACAATAGATTGTATATGTAAATAATATACATTTATTGACTGGGTTTTAAGGGCAACATGCTTTTTTTGTATGACCAAAGAACCAAACTGTTTGAGGGTCGACAAAACGCATTTTGCCCGAGAACACATTCAATAAATGTTTTGTTATACCTTTCATTTATTTATTCATTTTTTTTGTTATACATGTATCTTTTGCTGGCTTCTATACCATCGAATGCAGATAAGATTTTCCTGATCATACCCACAGTGTGACGTAAGCGGTCCAATATCTCGTCCACAGGTCCAATATCTCACTCGGCGGTCAAATATCATTTTTTTAAAAACCGCTCAGTAAAACATTAGAAATGTTAGACTTTTTTATACCCCCGTTATCGAAGATTCTTTCTAGCTGTCTGTTTGTCCGCAAAAACTTAAACCTTGGCCACAAATTTTGATTGGTTGAAGCTATGGCTATCATGTTTCACATGTGTATTTCTTGTGACAAAACCTTTCTTTGGGTACGATCATATTTGACCTATTGACTTTGACCTTGGAGTTTGTCCCAGGTTGGCAAAATTTTATCCAACTTTAACCTTGGCCATAACTTTTGAACGGTTGGAGCTAGGGCTTTTATACTTCACGTATGTAATCCTTGTGACAAGATCTTACTTTGGATACTAACAACTTTGACCCCAGGAGCTTGACCTACTTTTGAAAAACTTTAACCTTGGCCGTAACTTTTGAACGGTTGGTGCTAGGGCTTTCATATTTCACGTGTATTTCTTGTGAAAAGGCATTTCCTTGGGCACCGTTTATTTTGACCATTTGACCTTGATGTTTGACTTACTTTTGAAAAACTTTAAAATTTTCTATATGTTTTCATCAATGATTGCAGCTAGTGCTTTCATATTTCACAGATATATTCCTCGAGACAAGACCTTACATTGTACTTTGGGTACCAACATATATGTGGCCCGTTTTACAAAAGAACTTACGACTAAGACCAAAAATTTAAGTTGATTGTAAAATTTTGCAAAATCAATGATTCTGTTTAAAATTGCTAGCGTAAAAATAACTTACTACATTCCTTTTAAAAAGATCAAAACCATTTTCAATATAATGTAAATTAAAAAGTTATAAGCAGAATTAAATTTTGGTCTTAGTCGTAAGTTGTTTTGTAAAACGGACCCCTGATTTGCATTTGAGAAAGTTTAACCTTCGCTGTAAGTTGTCAAACGGGGGCATCAATCTTTCCCAAACACGTCTTATTTTCACTTGTTGTAGTATAGATTTATATAGGAACTAATTTTTAAAGGTATAACAAGTCATTTTGTCGACCACAGATTTTGCCAAATGTTGACTTTAATCTCAGATTGTTGATATGATTCTGTCATCAATTTGCTTGTCAGTAGCTTTCCTCGTCTTAGAAATTGTTCGTACATAGTATCACCAATCATATTCCAAAAGATGAATCATGCGTATCGAAAGTTGTATGTTACTAATATGTCTAAAAGAAAAAAGAAACTCTTTGATCCAACTGGCGTGCCGTAAATTTCATTATCTAACAAAAGAAAGGCATAGTTCTTAAAGACATAGTTCTCACGGTCATAATCTTAATAGATAGTGTACAGACAATTGAGAAGTTTTGTATAAGTTGGGAATTTTCGAGATATTAGTTTTAGACATGTTTAAACATTACCTTACATTGATTTTATCTTTTGTACTTTTAATTAACATCAGAGACTTACAAGCAGTTAGATGTGATTTTGATGGCACGCGTTTAGTAAACTACTTTAATGAAACTGGAGTAAGTATGTTGTTTGCCTGTTCAGTTTTGTTTTTAATTCTTATTTTAATTCTTGCTCTGGAGGGACACAGACGTACTTGTTATTATGACATTAATATTTTAGCTTATTTGTTGTTATTTATTTGTTTTGACTTTTTCGTTGCTGGTTATATAACTAAGTGAAAGGTAGCTATTAAGACCGTGTAGTTTGGTTTTGTGATTACGTGTATTATTAAATTGATATGTTTAGTCTTAGTTTAACTGTGGTTTTTGATTGATTAATTGTTGTTTCACGTCCAGTACAGTTGTGATTACGTGTATTATTAAATTGGTATGTTTAGTCCTAGTTTAACTGTGGTTTTTGATTGATTAATTGTTGTTTCACGTCCAGTACAGTTGTGATTACGTGTATTATTAAATTGATATGTTTAGTCCTAGTTTAACTGTGGTTTTTGATTGATTAATTGTTGTTTCACGTCCAGTACAGTTGTGATTACGTGTATTATTAAATTGATATGTTTAGTCCTAGTTTAACTGTGGTTTTTGATTGATTAATTGTTGTTTCACGTCCAGTACAGTTGTAATTACGTGTATTATTAAATTGGTATGTTTAGTCCTAGTTTAACTGTGGTTTTTGATTGATTAATTGTTGTTTCACGTCCAGTACAGTTGTAATTACGTGTATTATTAAATTGATATGTTTAGTCCTAGTTTAACTATGGTTTTTGATTGATTAATTGTTGTTTCACGTCCAGTACAGTTGTGATTACGTGTATTATTAAATTGATATGTTTAGTCCTAGTTTAACTGTGGTTTTTGATTGATTAATTGTTGTTTCACGTCCAGTACAGTTGTGATTACGTGTATTATTAAATTGGTATGTTTAGTCCTAGTTTAACTGTGGTTTTTGATTGATTAATTGTTGTTTCACGTCCAGTACAGTTGTGATTACGTGTATTATTAAATTGGTATGTTTAGTCCTAGTTTAACTGTGGTTTTTGATTGATTAATTGTTGTTTCACGTCCAGTACAGTTGTGATTACGTGTATTATCAAATTGATATGTTTAGTCTTAGTTTAACTGTGGTTTTTGATTGATTAATTGTTGTTTCACGTCCAGTACAGTTGTGATTACGTGTATTATTAAATTGGTATGTTTAGTCCTAGTTTAACTGTGGTTTTTGATTGATTAATTGTTGTTTCACGTCCAGTACAGTTGTGATTACGTGTATTATTAAATTGGTATGTTTAGTCCTAGTTTAACTGTGGTTTTTGATTGATTAATTGTTGTTTCACGTCCAGTACAGTTGTGATTACGTGTATTATCAAATTGATATGTTTAGTCTTAGTTTAACTGTGGTTTTTGATTGATTAATTGTTGTTTCACGTCCAGTACAGTTGTAATTACGTGTATTATTAAATTGATATGTTTAGTCCTAGTTAAACTGTGGTTTTTGATTGATTAATTGTTGTTTCACGTCCAGTACAGTTGTGATTACGTGTATTATTAAATTGATATGTTTAGTCCTAGTTTAACTGTGGTTTTTGATTGATTAATTGTTGTTTCACGTCCAGTACAGTTGTGATTACGTGTATTATTAAATTGATATGTTTAGTCCTAGTTTAACTGTGGTTTTTGATTGATTAATTGTTGTTTCACGTCCAGTACAGTTGTAATTACTTCATAATTCTTATACGTTCAATCTTCTTACTTAGCTGTTATAACTTAATTCTTATTTGTTCATTTTATTTGATATTTCTTGTTACTTAATAGATACTACTTAGTTCTTATTTGTAACTTCATTGAACACATGAACATAACTACTATTTCATCTTGTCATTAGTAATAAATTTAAAGGCAAAATATTCTTGTTTTCCGAAACTACACTCCATCTTGCATGCCACTTTTTATTGGTTAAGTAAACGTGTGGTAACAAATGTAAATAACAAGAATTTACAATTAAGTCATAAGAATTAAATCAAAACACCTAAGAAGTAAATCAATGTCCCTCCAGGGTTTCCTTAAAAACCACAGTTAAACTAGGACTAAACATATCATTTTAATATTTCACGTAAGCCAAGCTACACTTTCTAAGCATTAGTTATAACCAGCAACAAAAAGCTAAAATAAAAAAAGTCATAACAAGTAAGTCATTGTCCCTCCAGGGCTTCCGTAGTAGTAAGAGTTGTAGCTTAGTAATAAATAGATATAAATCGTTGATATACTATTATTCTAAACATTTAATTTTTTTTGTCCAGTTTCTTGGTACATGGCATGAATTAGAAAGGACAACGTTCCAATGGGGAGACGGCACCTGGTATTCCCAGGTATGGACCTTTAAACGAGGAAATGATGGTCAGCTATATATGGCCTACACTGGGTTTTCGTAAGTACGACTTATTCAGCTACTATGTTCTATATTCACTAGTGATTATACTCAATTGTATGCCAAATAATGCTGAAATTATGGTACAAAAGTAGAATATTCAAAGCATATACATATATAATAGTTCCCAGTATTCAATAAATCTCTTCAATATAATTTTTCTCAAAACGAGAAGAAAAACAAACAAAAAGTATCAGAAAAGTGTATCAGAAATGAATTAAATTGAGATTTCGAGACATTTTTTTAAAGATTCTTTACCATTTGACTATAAAGGATTTTTTTTATATTTCAATATTTATTTTATCAAATCCATAAATTCAAAACCATTGATTTGATCCTCTAGGTCAATCATATGAGATATATTTCTATCTGCAGTCTTCTTCAAGAATGTACTTTATTACTGTACATCACACAGGTAAAATGTTTGCACGATTCTAACAGATAATGAATTGTTAAAATCATGTTTCCGGGTCCATGATTCGAGCAACGAATTGATTAAAATAGTTATATAATAAAAAGATTAAAAGTAAACACTCTATCATAACGTTTTGATTGATTGATTGATTGTATGTTGTTTAACGTTCCTCTCACTCATATGGAGATGCCACCACTTGCCGGTGGAGAGCTGCAAATTTTGTCCTTTACTCGGCACTTACGGCCATTGAGCAGTGAGGGATCTTTTTCGTGCCAGCACCTACAGCGACACGGGACCTCGGTTTATACGGTCTCATCCGAAGGACCGGTCTCCACGTCCCACAGTGGGATTCGAACCCGCGACGTAAGGATCAACTCCTTACTTCGCGACTCTAGAGCAGACGCTCTAACCACTGCGCCACGCGGGCGACCATAACGTTTTGATTTCAGGTTCCTCAAGCTGATTAGACGATTATAAGTATGATTATTATACCTCTACTGATGTTTTCCTTATATATCATTAGATTGTTAGATGTGACTAATTCCCTAGAAATCGTTATGAATGGACTAATCCCCGTGCGTTAGTCAAGTGAGCTAATCCCTGCATCAAAAGCTAATTCCTGGTTATCCGTAATCCTCTAGATTTTACTTTTACATTGGTATGATATGTGAATGGACTAATACCCATGTGTTAGTTCAGTGAGCTAATCCCTCCTGTGAAATCACGCTATCTGAATCCTCTAAATTTTACGTTTGTATCGGTGTAATAAAACAGTTAAATGTATATCATTGAGGGAGATAGCAAGATTCCAGTTCCCCATAACCAGGACCATTTCCCCCGGCTTCGCCTCGGGAAATAGTCCTGGCCTTGGGGAACTGGAATCTTTCTAACTCCCTCAATGATATACTTTAACTGTATACTAATCTAAGATGCATATTTTATTTTGATGTATCTTTTAAAAAATTGTACTCTCAAGCATATAGCAGACAAACATTATATGTTTAAATATTAATGATAATAATAACAATGAGTTTTGTGCCAAAAGAAAATACAATGAATTTCCCATGAATCCAGAACTGCTGATCCAGATTGGAAGAAATTTACCAAATGTTAATAGCCTCGATCATGATAAAAAATTCGCAGTCAAGGCCTATGAGTCCCTGATTTGATATGCAAATTACAGTTTACACCTTTTTCAGTTCGGTCAACGTACGGCTCCATTCTTACCAAACCTCGTGCTCGCAACTGAGGACCAAATGTTATCAATTTTGAATACTAGCCGTGACATTCTAAATTATGTACGGCATTGAAAGACGGGTATCATATTTAAAAGAATTCTCTTCGAGTACTCGGAGTATATCCCTCTGTCCAAGCTTAAATATTTACTTTTACAGTACTCTAATTCACGTGGATTCCTTCTAAGATTTTCCGTATTTAGATTTACACATACATATTTACATTTGCAAGTGTTTCCCATAATTAATATATGTTATACTTAGTAATTGAGCAATTATTATTTGATCATGAGCAATGCGCATTGAAACCTGTTCAAATACATGCAGGTTCATCACACCACTACAAATTTATTTTTTATCGACGTTATTTCACATTGATCGATGTGTTCAATACAATCAATTTATACCGTTGAGGTTTTAAAAAAAATCATTCCATAGCTTTAAACCTATAATATGCAAATAATTTGTTACAATGTGCAAATACTCGTATTAGTAATAAGGTATCATTTTTAAACATTTATTATGATATAAGTACGGGATGGTTTGTGGTCAATCAATGGCCTTTATAGGATTTGATCAGGTGACCAGCCCGTATTTATTTCTCGATTAATGTTTGAAATGATACCTTTTTTCTAAAATGTATCATTTACATGACTTCACACGTCCATTGAGTACTAAATTTGTTGACAGGAAAATAATTAATCCATGGACATACTTTTAATTGCAAAAAAGAATGAAGAAATATGCAAAACATACAACAGATAAATCATTTTTTCAAGTCCTCGCACACAGTCTTGTACTTCTCCTAATACCGGACTCTTGAGCGGAACTGGAGGCTCATACACATTGACGTCAGAGGGAAGGTATGAAGGTAAGTCATAAGGCATCAAAGTGACACATTGACGTCATAAGGAAAGTATGAATGTAAGTCATGAGGTATCATAGTTGCAAATTGACGTCAGAGGGAGGGTAAAAAGGTAAGTCATGAGGTATCAAAATTATACAATGACGTCAGAGGGAGATAAAAAGGTAAATCATGAGGTATCAAAGATTCACACTGACATCAGTGGATAGGTATGAGAGTATAGATACACATGTAAGTCATGCAGTATCAAAGTTACACGTTGACGTCATGCTTAACTTAAAAAATTAAAAAGAATATGCTCATAATGTACATATTGTGCACATAGATTATGTACAATTTTTTTTATAAATGGACCAAGTCAAACACAATACATGTAACATGCTCGATTTAGTGAAAAAAGATTGAGTTTATACTCAGTATTTTGTCTCTTTGATCACTATATTTTAACTAATCTTTGCTTGTTTCATCATTAGTTCCTTTCTTGTTTTATATGTTGTTTTCTTGCTACAATCATTACTTTTTGAAAACATCTAGCTGCATTACGAGTTGCTTACACGGACTACGAAAACGTTGCCCTGGTGTACATGTGTTATGCTCCTGAAATACAGGGAACTTGTGACAGGACATCTGTTCATGTCTCTCTCCTATCCCGGACACCTTCACTGTCCACTCCACAGAGATCCATGCTTAAGGCTCATCTGGATTTAAAATGCGTCGAAGATCATCACCTTAACCAAGCTACGACAGGTTTGAATGCATTATTTTACGTTGTCAATTAAAAAAAATGATTTCCAGTAATTAGAACATTTTGTTATATCTACAGTTTAAATAGTATGTTTATTCTATAAGAATTGGCAATTTGTAGTAAAAGGATAACAGAGAATATTAGCTAGTATATGAGACATTAAGAACGTGTTTACATCACGCTTCCTAATAAGTATGTGAAATCTCCGATTTTTGTGGTGGTAGGGGGTTAATTTTGTTGATTTTGTGGTATGAAGAAACTAATGAAATGTTCACACATTTCAAACTATAGTATTACATGTATATTTATCATTGCTCCAGCAACCACATAGTGAAATTCAAATGTACCAATTAAGAAATTGCTTTTTTCAACGTAGCATAGATAATAATAGATATTTTATGATTTATTTTCTATATGACAATCATTTTATCGAATAAAACGCGAATTGATGGGCCATATCATATACTAGTAATATGAGAAGTCATATTAATATGATAATTAATTTGCTCTTAGGTCTTTGTCGGGTACCTACACCTATTAGTAAGTATACTTTAATCACAGATAATGCCAAAAAAGTTATAAAAGACATAATTTCTGTTTACTTTTATTCATGTATATCCACATGTCCATAAAATGGCTTTCGTATGTTTGTAGAAAATGAAATACTTCTTTTGTCAACGTTCATTTTTTTTAGTCCCAGTCGGAAGATAAGCAGATTTGGAACAAAGGACTATTAGTGAAATCCAATCAAATGTACGACAATGATCTGATAAGTTAATTTATAAATAAAATCAGTATTAATATGTCTTCCTTCTTTTAAGGTGGAATTCAATATTAATTCTTACATACATATAAAACATAAAAAAAACTCTTTAGTACAGGGGTTAAAACAGGTTTTAAGGACATATGACACATGAATGCCTGGATTGGTATTTATTTTTTGACCAATTTTGGTTGTAAATGATGCAAATATAAAATTCTAAAATAATAAAAAAATTGAAAACTTTCTATAATGTTCAAACAGTTACCTTTTTTAAAAAACCAATATAAATATATACTACATTTTTTATCATTTTATAGGACATTATTGTGAAACTTTAAATTAAAAATTAATTTTTTTTTGGTTAAACTTATTCATTTAACTAATATAAAACTGTTTTACTTGATATTTTCATGATTTATGAAAAAAGTTGTTTCAACTTTTCTTTAGAAATTGACCTTGCTGAGATACCGAATGTATAGTGTGCCGATAGAGTCATTTACATAAGTCTATGACACGGCGTTAGACACAATGCAACGCGCATTGTTCACAACATACTGCCGCGCTAACGCAATAACCGTTGCCATAACACAACACACTAAAATACTATGGGGAATTTCATTTTAGAGAAGCTAAGTCATTTAGAATTATTAAAGAGGGTTTAAAGAAAATCTTCAATGAAACAAATGTTTGATATCTGAGTTGTGTGAGTGATTTGATGGTAAATATGCATATTTGACATTGTTAACTTCATATAAAAAGTACATTCTTTAATAACGCAGCTATGTTAAGGCTGTCCGAAGGCTTAATATGCATGAAAATATCCATTTTATTTTGAGCTAGATTTTAATTTCAATTTGTAATCTATGTATGAATTTGCAGTCAACTTGTGACGAGAGTGTAATCAGGTATTATAATAATGCATTTTTGTGATGTCACATGACTTCGTTGATCACGTGACGGACACTTTAAATTCCTATATGTTGCACAAAAAATCGCATCGGCACAAGTGCAATACAATATTATTGAGAAAAAATTAACACATAAGTCGATTCATCGTGATCTTTGGTACATATAAAGTGCTAGGGGCAAGTCTGAATTTTACTTCTTAAGAAAATATTCCACGAGAAATTCAACTTACCAACATACAAGGGTACATTTTCCACTCTTTATCGCAATTTATACAAAATAGGATAAATTACATACAATCCCCCAGCAACATACTTCTCTAGTAGATTCACACAGAATATCTTCAATATATTCTTATTAATCACTTGTGCCAGTCAAATATATACACGATTTATAAATTCTAACTCTGTCCACGGACGTGTTAGGGGTAGCGTTTCACATTCAATTTTTTTTTATTGTTTGAATATATGTATATTTGATAAGTTAATGGAATAGCGATTTTAAATTGCAAAGATTCAACATCATAACAGCTCACTTAAACTTAAAGAACAATCCACACTCTTGAATCAAACAACAACGCTAAAAAATCTTTACCTGTCATGTAAAAAGAATGTAAAAGTTATGACACTTTCCCCGTCATGTTAGCACAAGTACGCAGTGACTTGACGTCATATGCTATTATGACGTCATATTTAGGTAGTTCACAGATGTTACTTCAGTTGGAACACTTTGATATTTTACGGACACCTTATCCTAGCCGCGAAATAGAGTTTAAAAAGGATTTCACTAATGATACATGCACAAAACCTATGCAATCCAAGTAGATTGAATGAATTTACTTAACCTAATTCTGCCAAATTTAATGGAATATCTTGAAGACACACAGCCAAAAGAGACACAGTCATACAGTAAATGTTTTTCCCAGATAATACTACTGTAGATTCCTTATTTTTCGCGAGTACTTATTATCGCGAAATGGCTCTTGAACGTCAAATTGCGAGAAAAATAATTCGCGAGTGGGCGGTTGATCAAGAGAATTATCATGGATTTCATCACCATAAAAATAAAAGCGTGTAATTTTATTTCGCGAGTGGTGCTTCTCGCGTAATTACGCGATTATAAATTCTTCGCGTATATTTAGGAATCTACAGTATATGGTGAAGCAAGACCCAAAGAAACTTACTGGTTGCCTACGATAACCCTCCCTCCCCCCCCCCAACTGAGTATTCATTGCTGTAAAAGTTTAGCCCCAGGAGAATTTTCTTCCTGAACTCTGGCTTATCATCAGGGACAAGGGCAAGAACACATCCAAGATAACGGATATTGGGTCCAGACCTGTTAAAAAAAACAAGATATGATTCAAAGACATGCAAAGAAAATATAAACTACTGTATACAAAGAATCCCCCTGTTCTATTTTGCCCTCTTTCGCCATCAGCTCGACAAGGCAAATTTAAAACAGAGTGATTTCAAAGAAAACAACATAATTTCTTAAACAGAAGCATGTCTAATCAAATTTAAAATTGGACAAATATTGCAAGATTACCCTGTGTACAGTATTAAACATATAAAAAGAATTGAAATATTTTGTTTGTTTATTAGAAGTTAATGTGTAATCATATGTTAATATGTAATGTATGTAAGTTAACCAAATACATTTGATGTGTTTATCGTAATTCAGTCATTCTACAAAGGCATGCCCAATAAGAATTTTTTATGTCGCTTACAAATTTACCGTTGTCATATCTTAACTATAAATTTAAAGATCGATTTCAACTCTATGAATTGATATACACACATGGTTTTGTAAATATTTACCGATATATATGCAGTGAAACTTTTGATATAAACACAATGTAATGTTGAAAATCGTTACACCGTTACCAAACTGTCATACTTGCTGCTGACGTGCAGCAAGTCTGCTGCAAGCTTGCAGCAAACAAAATTGTTCGCTGGAAGAAAATGTTCTTGTTATCAGATGATTGCCGCTAGCTGTGATCTTGCGGCAAACATTGCAGCAATTGCTGTAAGCTTGCAGCAAATTCGCAGGAACTCAACATGTTTGCAGGAACATTGCAAGAAACAAACACGCCAATCTGTTGTTTGCAGAAAGTTCACAGGAAACATTAAACAAATTGAATGTTTGCAGGAAATTTGCAAGAACAGTAAACAAGTTAAATCAGCCAACGAAATGCAGATTGTAATGGGGTCAAGACACAATTCGCCATTTTGAAATATTTGAATAGAAGTTGTAGATGTTTCAGTATTTTGTTAGGAATACATTGTATATACTATTTTGAATGATTACAAAGAGCATAATTCTGGATGTAGGAGTACGAGGGTTGTCCCAGAAAAACGCGAACTTTTTTGATATTTTAGAAACTATTCGACCTAAAGTAATAATTTTTTGCATGTTGTTGGAAAATGATATTTTCGATATTTTGACAAAATATTTTAGGCTTGTGATGTCATAAGTATATAAAAACAGGATTTAAAGGGTGTTAAATATCGGTGGTCGGCGCACGGCAAGTTTTTGACTTTTAAAAGTAGCATTGTCAATGAAGTTTTCTTTTTTACCAGGCTATACGGAAATATAATGTCACAAAATTTACTTCCATCAATACTCGTTGATCTGGTGTACTCGTGCATATATATTCATTAATTTGACATCATTAATGACAAATATATGGCGTTATATGCCAAAACATTTTTAATTAGATATTGTCAAAAATGGTGACGTTTGGCGATAATGTGAAGCACAAAATTATTAAGTGGGATATGACTTCTACCCATACGATAAAAGAGATGTTAACGATGGAAAAACAGAAACATAAATCTCGGACACAGGTTTATCCGTAGTTGAAGAGGTTTGAGGATGGCTTGACTGGTTATCCGATAGAAGAGGCGTTTTGTAGACTAACAGAAATGAAGACAAACTGAAAGTCAGGAGCTGGACGTCATAGGCCTAAGTGAAGGCCGCCGTTAAACAATGCGAACTGCTAGGTTTGTTATCGGGATTGAGAAATTGTCTATAAAAGAATTAATTCTGCAATCTTCTGCTAACATTAGTAATTGAGATGTATAATTTGGAAAATAAAAGAAAATTAAATACCGTGCTGAATTTATGCTTAAATGAATTTTATTAGAAGCACATTTCCAAAAAAAAAATTTCAAACGCCACGAGCTACATTTTGACGTCGTTAGTGTTGCGCCAACAACTGATTTGTAAGATTCGTATACCTGAGAGAAAAATGTTATTTATGGAGATATTTCATTGAATTTTTTTTGCATTATACCAAAAAAATTCATCATTATGTATGCCAATTTTTAACTTTATAGTATTAGTGAAACAAAAGATATTGAAAA